AAAAGTAAATATAATATATTATAAGTTTATTAATAATAATATAAAACTTTATAAAGTAATTATAAAAAATATTAATATTTTTTAAAAAAGCTTAAAAAAAGAAAAATATATATATATTATAAATTATATTTTTAAAGTATTATATATACTTTTTTATATTTATTTAATAATAAATTATTATTATTAAAGTATTAATTTTAAAATATTAAAATTATATTTTATATATTATATAAATATTATAAATATATTAAGATATTATTATAAAAAAATAAATATATATTAAAAAAAGAAATAGAAAAAAATAAAGCTATAAATAGCTAAAAAGGTTAATAAATTACTTTTAAAAAGTAAAGCTTTAATTATATTTAAGAATTATATATTATAATAAGTATATTATAAATTCTTTTATATTTATTATAAATTAATAACTATAAGCCTTAACTTTATACTTAACTTTATTAATTATATAAAAAATATTAAAAGCTAATTAAGTTAAAAGTTATAACTTAAGCTTAAAAATTTAAATAATTTAATTTTAAATAAAAAGTTAACTTAATTTAAAAATAAACAGTATTAATAAGAAAATTAATCTTAATAAAATAAAGAAAATAATTTAAGCTTTTAGCTAAATAAAAAATACTTAAATACTTTTTATAAATTATTTATATTTTAATAATATAAGTTTAAAAATAATTAAAAATAAAAATAAAATAATAAATAATTAAATATTTATTAAATCTTAATTATTAAAAAGTATAGCTTTTTATAAACTTATAATTAATTTATAAAAAGTATATAAAATTAAAAAAATATAATTTATAATTTTTTTATTAAAACTATATTATATATATTTTAATAAAATAGCTAATAATAAATTAATAAAAAAACTTAAAAAAAATAAAAATCTTTTTAATACTTTTTAATAAAAATAAATAAAATTACTATATTATTATTATATTAAGTATTATATATATTATTAATATAAAACCTATTTATATTTAAGTTAATAATAAAGTTATAATAAAGCTAAAAATAAAAATTATTAAATTAAAATAATAAGAAAAGTATAATAAAAATATATAGTATTTTAAATAATTTTTTTTATTAAGTATTATTAATATATTTTTTAATAAGATTTTTATTTTTATTTATATTTATTATTATAAAAACTTATAATATAAAAGTCCTTTTTAAAAATATTTTTTTTTAAAATAAAGTAAAAGTTATAATAAAAATATTATAATTATAAAAAAGTATTATAAAGTAAAAGTAATAATAATTAAAAAGTAAGAAAAAAATACTTTATAAAGTTTAAAAAAAAATTAAAAACTTTTTATATATATTAAAAAATATTTATAAAGAATTTAATTAATAAATAAATAAAATAAAACTATATTTACTTATAATTTAAAATAAAAAATCTAATATTATTATTTAAATAAATATAATATTAATAAATAAAAATATTAAAATATTATTAAAAAAGAAAAATAACTTATTATAAAGCTTAATATAAAAAGCTTATAAATATTAAATAAATTTAATATAATTTTATTATTAAAGGCTTATAGCTTTAGCTTAAAAGAATTATAGCTTTATAATATATTTATAAGTATAAAAAAGTAAATAACCTATACCTTTATAAAGAGTTTAAAAATAAATATAATTAACCTTTAACTTTTATATTTAATATAAATTTATAATTTAATTAATATAATTAAAGTTATACTTTATTAAGAATTTTTTATAATTTAAATTCTTTTTACTTTTTATTACTTTTAAATACCTTTAATATTATAATAAGAAATTAAAATAAATATTTAAAAAATACTAGTATTTTAATTATTATAATTTTATATATTTCTTTTTTAAAACTTATTTTAATTAATTATTTAAGCTATAAATTTAAATTAACTTTAATATAAGATTTTTTATTAAATATAAAATATATATTAATATACTTATATCTTTATATTATTTATATAAGTAAAATATTAAAATCTTAATTTTATTTTATAATTTTAACTTATTATTAAGAAATACTTATTTAAAACTTTTAATATTTTAATATAAAAAAATATATAGTTAAATATTTAAAAATAAATATTTTAAAAATATTTTATATAAATTTAGTATAATTTTACTAAAATATATTTTTTATATATTTTATTTATTTTTATAAAAGTATTTTATAATTATTATAAATATTAATAATTTTTAAAGTTATTAAGTATATATATTATATTTATTTAAATATAAATTTTTATTTATTTAAATAAAAGGACTTTAAATTTTTTTATAAATTTATATAGCTTTTATTAAGCTATATAAGTTAATTATTACTTAAAAAGTAAAAAATATATTAGTTAAATAATAATAATTTTATAAATATTTTATTATATACTTTTTAATTTATATATAATTTAATTTTTTAAATTTAAAATAAAATTATATTAATTAAAATACTAAGAGTTTATAACTTAATATTTAGAAATTTTAAAAAAATAAATATAATTATATATTATATATAACTTTAATATAATTTTTATTATAATAAAATATTTAAGTATTTAGTAAATTACCTTTCTCTATTAGTAATAATAAACTTGCCTGTCTCTACTCTAAATTTCCATCCATCCCGTTTCAGAGCAGCAGCTACAGCTTTCCGAAGTGGTGATACCCCCCTGGTACTATGGTGGCCTACTCCTGTTATAATAGTGAGGCTTTGCTCTGGAAGTTGCTGTTCTCGTGATTTACGTAGGGCCTGCCACCAATCTACAGTACGTTGACGAGCGATTCGAACTCCATCAATAACAGAAACGCCATGCAAATCAACTGTTGTATCAGTACTTTGTTGATTCACACGTACGTCTGCTGCGGCTGATGTTAACTCCTGAGCACGCCTGGCATGTTCGCGAGCTTCTTGTGCATAATAGCCCGCTGCTTGCCGATAGAGCGGATTTGATGATCCCCGTCGATAGAGACTTGCCGCAGATGCTATGGCATCCTGTCTTTGCTTCTGTAGTGAGCTTGATGTCTGCAGTATCCGAGTGAGATCAACATCTGTCTTTGCCATTGGGTTTGGCCGCTGGGAAGCCCCTCTTCTGTCCGCTGGCTTATTGGTAGCCATGTCTGTCAGCCCTTCGATATCCTCGTGTGGTAGCGGTGTCAACCGATAACCCAAATCGAGTTTCCGATTCATTGACTTCTTCGTGAAATATGAGTTGGCCAACGCCGCAAGGTCTAGAGAATGTGCAGACGTCGGTCCAGTTATTTGAATGATGACTGCCAGATAGTCTTCCGGAACATTGCGATATTTTTGCCTGAGGTCGCCCACTGCCTTCTTCTCTCCACTCGTTAGAGGCTTGAGGTCTTGTATGAGGTGCTGATCCAGAATTCCAATCACAGTTGCACTTTTGGAATTTCCGTTCTCAGCATACATAATAGAGACCTCTTCTGTGGACATGTGCAACCGCTCTGCTATATAGGCAATGGCTGCCGGAGCTGTAGTACATTAGTACCGCAAGTCATTGGTAATAGATGAGCCGACAACTCACTTCTCGCCCGATTGGGATCGCCCAAACTGGCCTCATTCTTCTGCTTGTCGTACCCAGTTCGCTGACCGGTCTTGCTGGCAGGCTGTGGTCCAAATTCGTGGTTGTCGAGCGGTGCATTTGCCGAGGCGGGCTGTTGAGTAGATTGAAGGTATTGTACGCTAAGTAAGGTGTCCAACGCAGCAGCAACAACACCATTTGCGTCAACGAGGGCTTGTCGAATATCAAGACTCTTTACCTCGGGGAATAGAGCCTGGAGCTGTGCCACGTCGCTTTCAATTGACTCAGCCTTGGTCAATTCTCCATCCACGGTACTGCTAGCGTTGAAAGGTGATAGAGCCGCGATTTCATCGTCATTCGACCTTGCGTCTGGGATCTCACGATTGCCCTGGCTGACCTCTGGTGTAGGGGCCTTATCATCTATCGTAGATAGGTCATTATGCCCCATATATCCAAAAACACCTTCGGGATCCAGACTACTGGCTTCCTCAATGGCTGCATGTTGTGCGAGGCTGTCCAAAATGGAACGAGCTCCCTCGTAGCCGGTTACAGTGGAGAGGTCATAGTCACCCGCGATGGCAACGATAAGAGAATCATCCAGCGAAGAGCGGAATGAATCCTAGTAAGCGAGGTGTTAGCATCATATGAAAGAATCTGTCGTATGACAGAGAGCTACATTAAGGAGCGTAATAGGGAAGGTGATGAGGGGTAAACGGAAGAAAGAACGAGGAGGGAGGGAAAGAGGGAAGAACACCTACCAGTAGTTGTTGGAGATGTGAAGACCCAGTGGTTTCGCTCATTGGGGACAAGACAAGGCATACTAGGTAATGTAGTAAGGTATTGAAGGGATAGACTGAGTAAGCCTACTATTTTGGTAATATTCGTGCATCGACTGCTCGTATGCGAGGCAGTAGGTGAGTTCTAGTACTTTCTTTAACTTGCTTTTATTCTCTTAGGTTAAGTAATTTTATTTACTATTCTTCTTCTTAATATATAAATGAGGATAAATAGTAATATAAATAAATAAATAAATAAATAAATAAATAAATAAATAAATAAATAAATAAATAAATAAATAAATAAATAAATAAATAAATTCTTTTATTAAAATAAAAAAGTTAAATCTCTTAAATTTTATAATATATATTAAGTATATATATATATTTATATTTTCTTAAGAATATAAAAGTTATATATAAATTATTTACTTATATAAAGAAATTAAGTTAATAAAATATTATTTTAATTAAATTTATTTATAAATAAAGAAATTATATTATTCTTAAATATATTAATATAAAAGTATATAATTAATTATAAATATAATATATTATATTTTATAAGTATATAAATTTTAATTTTATTATATTATAATTTTAATTATAATTAGTTTATAATTAATTTTTAAATTTAAGATAAATAATAAATATATAAGTATATATATATAAGTATTATAAAGTTATATTATTAAATTCTTTTTAAATTAATTATATATAAATATTAAGATTTATATTTATATATAATTTATTTAAATATAATAATAAGTTTTTTATAATAATTATTCCTTTTTTAAAATAAGTAAGTACCTACTGTTATATATTAAAATAACCAATGCTTAATATATTCTAGAGCACTCCTATTCTCTAGAGGGAAAAGTGGACACTGTAACCTGGCTGTCACCTTACTGCATCTAAAGGGATAGTACTGCGCCTAATCATATTACCTAACTCCTCGTTCGGCTCTAGCTGCAAATTAAATCTCCGTCATACATTTTTGCCGTCCCAAACAACATCTCAACACCTTCACACGCCACACTCTGTCAAGCACACAACAGGGCCGTATCTATCTATTCATCACGTCTTAAGACCAATTCTTCTTTCTCTTGCAAATCAAAATGTCTCGCGGCGGCACTACTTTATATGTCACAGGCTTCAGCCACGGCACCCGCGCCCGCGACCTCGCCTACGAATTCGAACGGTATGTCAACCACGCCACGCCCACGCCTTCGTCCTCGTCGTCCTCGTCCTCGCCCTCGTCCGCGCCTCGTCTTGTACCGCAATGAGGAATCCTTTCGGTCGACAGATTTGATACCACGTCGATGTCGATGCCCTCGCAGCCCTACCCCCCCGCTGACGCCTGAACCTACCTCTCCCTTTTTCCTGCCGCGTCGGCCAATGCGTTTCATCCATCATCTCGAGGTTGTTCTCTGTTTAGACGGATATTTGGATTGCACCGTCTTTCGCATGTGCAAATAGTCAATGCAAATCGCCGGAGACACGGCTACCCTAGCCACTGCGCTTTCCACGGCTGCGCTGTGATGGATTGGCTAACAGTGATCCTGTGATAGATACGGGCGCCTGGTTCGCTGCGACATCCCTGCGCCGCGATCGACTTCCAGTCGACTGTGAGTGCCACAGAAGACCCCCAGCTCCCTCCCCTCCCCTCTTAAACACATCACTGACAAGTACTAGGTTCGCTTTCGTGGAGTATGAGGATCGGCGTGATGCCGATGATGCGTACCATGAAATGCATAACAAACGCATCGGCCGAGATGATTTGTTGAAGATCGAGGTATGTGCAGTTCTTGGTTCACCACACTGTGTTACCATTAACGCGTGTCTAGTGGGCTCGAACGCCTCCATCAGCTTCTTGGCGATTTGAATCCGGGCGTGACCGTGATCGCCGCGGACCCCGATCTCCTCGCCGCGGACGGTCACCATCCCCTCGACGCAGTACTCGTGACTACTCCCCACGGAAAGACGAGCGTCGCGATCGCGACCGAGATTACGATCGCGATAGCCGAAGGGACCGTGACCGCTCTCGAAGTCCCGAGCACCGGTAGGTTGCCCAAGAGGCTGCCCAATCCTTTCGTGTACCTCAGGATATTGACATCCTTACGTCTGCAGTGACCGTGACCGCGATTTGAAAGAAGAGCGTGATGATCGTGATCGTAAGGAGAATGGAACCAACGGTGATGAAAGGAAAGGTACTGTGGACCCCTATCTTCACAGTCGAACTACGAACTACTCGCTTACACATTGGCAGCTGAGAGTCCTCTCCCCGCCCATGACGATCTAGATGTTGCTGAGTAGTAGAGGCCACCATTGTCGAAGCGTATGACGGCAGCGGACTGATGAACTTCATATTTAATCCTGTCCTTCCCGCCGACGCCGTTTTCTCACTTCAATCGTCTCTTCCCAATGCCCATTCCCGAGATTCGTCGATCTGAGTACGAGTACGGATGCATTCCTTGTGGGATAATGGGACGATGTGGTGTCGCCAGAACAGAACCTATGCCAGTTATGAGGTGTTTGAAGATGTGCCAGAATGGGATGCGATATTTTGGCGTTGTAACTAATAGCTTCTTAGTAATAAAACAAATTGTATTTGGTTTCAAAATATCTTCTCTTGTTAGTTATTTTAATGTGAAATATATACTAATTTTAATAATTTATATTTTTGTTATTAATATATATTCTAATATTACTTATATAATAAAATAACTAAATAAATAAATATATATATATCTTTTAGTGATATTTCTAAACATAAGTAATAATATAGCTTAAAATATTTTACATAAGTACTAAAACACCTACCTAAAGCTACATATGTAAGTAGTAGGTACGGGGGTACTCCGTACTCCTGACGTAGTTGTACCTGCCTCGGGAATACTCGCTATGGCTGTCGCATGGCAGGTATTGTGGCTGTGTGGGGTTTGGAAGGCTCAGCGCTGCGTCAGCGCTCTTTAAACCCCTCCTTAGCTGGTGGTTACCTAGAGCTACGTAGCTACTGTATTCCATTTGCCCAGCGACGCGCGGTTCCTTGACTTCCTCACACAAGCATCAACCATCCCAAGAAGGCTCATCACCGGTATCTCCCAGCATGAACGTCCTCAAGCTACAGAGGTACGTGAAGCTCTTCCCGTCGTCAGACCTCTCTAACGGAACACCAGGAAGTATCCTCAATTCCAGCAGAACGAGATCTTTCAGCTCTCCGACGCCTTCCAGCGGCTAGACGTTGAGGACCGAGGCTATCTCGACGAAGCAACTGCTATCAAGGCCACCCAGCAGAGTGAAAACCAGCCATACGATGTTGTTCGACAAGCCCTGAAGGAAGTTGATCTGGATTCTTCGCGACGAGTGGAGCTGGAGGACTATGTTGGCGTGAGTTGTGCCGTACCTCACTTTGCGCGCTTTCTAACGTTTGGTAGCTCATCGCTAAGCTGCGCGCCGGGTCGGTTGCCCAAAAACGCATCTCTACAGGTCCTGGCTCGGCGCAGCCTGGGCCTGGACCTGCCCAGGGTCATGCATCCAAGGGCAGCGTGAGTGGCAAGATCCAAGTGCAAGGCTCCAATGCGAACACCACACACACAATCAATGAAGATGAGAGGACCGAATTCACACGCCATATCAATGCGGTATTGGCTGGTGACCCGGATATTGGAAGCCGGCTCCCGTTTCCGACAGACACCTTTGAGATGTTTGATGAGTGTAAAGATGGATTGGTCCTTGCGAAGCTCATCAACGATAGCGTTCCCGACACTATCGACGAGCGAGTGCTGAACATTCCCGGACGGAAAACCCGAACTCTCAACGCCTTTCAGATGAGTGAGAACAACAACATCGTTATCGAATCATGCAAGGGTATTGGCTGCTCTGTTGTCAACATTGGAGCTGGGGACATCATTGAAGTTCGCGAGCATTTGATTCTGGGTCTCATTTGGCAGATCATCCGACGAGGGCTGTTAGGCAAAATCGATATCAAGCTGCACCCTGAGCTCTACAGGCTGCTGGAAGACGACGAAACTCTGGAACAGTTCTTGCGATTGCCCCCTGAACAGATCCTACTGCGCTGGTTCAACTATCACCTGAAAGCCGCCAATTGGCCTCGCAGGTTCGTATACACCCATCTCCCTTCACCGCAAGGCGTTTACTGAAGCTCTCTCTTCGCTTAGGGTCACGAACTTCTCTAGCGACGTGAAGGACAGCGAAAACTACGCCGTCCTGCTCGCACAGATAGGAGGCGAGTACGGCTGCACGCGAGCTCCGTTACAAACCAGAGATCTCTTGCAGAGAGCTGAGGAGGTTCTGCAAGAAGCGGATAAACTTGGGTGCCGCAAGTTCCTTACCCCCTCATCATTGGTTGCGGGTAACCCGAAACTCAACTTGGCATTCGTCGCTAACCTGTTCAACAACCATCCCGCGCTTGACCCTATCACCGAGGAAGAGAAACTGCAAGTGGAGGATTTTGATGCGGAAGGAGAACGAGAGGCAAGAGTCTTTACCCTATGGCTCAACAGCTTGGACGTGCAGCCACCTGTCGTGTCCTTCTTTGATGACCTGAGAGACGGATCAGTCCTTCTGCAAGCATATGACAAGGTCATCAAGGGGTCTGTGAACTGGCGCCACGTCAACAAAGCTCCCTCACACGGAGGCGAGATGCTCAGATTCAAGGCTGTGGAGAATACGAACTATGCCATAGAGCTCGGCAAACAAAACGGATTCTCCCTTGTGGGCATCCAAGGTGCAGACATCACTGACGGCCAAAGGACCTTGACGCTTGGGCTGGTATGGCAACTCATGCGAAAAGACATCACTCTGACGTTGTCCTCATTGGCCCAGAATCTCGGGAAGAGAGAGATTACCGACGCTGAAATGGTTAGGTGGGCCAATGATATGTCGAAGAAGGGCGGCCGCAATTCTTCTATCCGGTCCTTCAAAGACCCGGCGATTGGCACCGGCGTCTTCCTGTTGGACGTGCTGAATGGCATGAAGAGCAGCTACGTGGACTATGACCTCGTGACACCCGGTCGAACAGAAGAGGAAGCATATATGAATGCGAAGCTGAGCATCAGCATCGCCCGCAAGCTTGGCGCGACCATATGGCTTGTCCCGGAGGACATCTGCCAAGTTCGCAGTCGCTTGGTGACTACTTTCATCGGTAAGTTGATGTCGTTGCATGGGCTGTGGCCTGCTATGATTCAAGGTTGCTAACACGTGTGACAGGATCTTTGATGGCGGCTCATGGCAAGGTGTAGCTTCATTTGCTAGTTTCGTGGGGGTGCTTTAAAAACGATGATGTTAATTACCACTAAATATTAATCAAAATATACAAGTATATTATCTTCAAGAAGACAGCTTCACGTCCGTGATGGAATTGAGAAGTCTGGATGGGTAAACAGTCAGCATAGATTCAACACGCCTCGGTAGAGTAGGAGCCCCCTTACTGTAGATTGCGGTCCCTCATCTCGCGGTCCAGCGTATCAACTTGCTTGGCAGTCAACCTCACCTTGCTGAGCTGTTCGAAATGATAAGTTAGCCAAACGAAAATCCTCAACGCGCGTGTGAAATAGAAGGATGACGGGAAAGGCTGCTGTTTGCAAGGGGCTCTCGCACCAAAGCTAGTGCCGTGGAAGAGTGGTCGTTCTCCTCCTCACCTTCGGCTGCGTCACCTGCCGCATTGGCGTTGACGGCTCTGTTTGATTTGTACAAAGCGGCTTGAGCCTGTCGTGATGTTAGTGTCAGAGGGGGTGCAGAAGGAGGGTCGATTTGGAGTGACATGATAGGACCCCTTACCTCGGCCTCCGCCAGCTCGGCATCCTTGATTTTCAATTGAGCCAGCAGATGCTCGTATCTGTCATCTGCGTCTTCGAGCTTCTTCAAGAGTTGCTGGGCGCTCATCTCCGACTCCTTCACCTTCTTGTTGGCCTCCTCCAACAAGGCAGTCATGCTGTCATTCAAGTCGTTGTAATCCGCCTGAGCCGTCTTCTCCTTGATTTGCGACTGCATCCTCAAGTCCTCCAGTTCCTTGGACGTGTTTTCAAAGGTCTCCCTTGCGGCGGTGTACTTCTCCTCCATGCGGTAGAAGTCATCCCTGGCCGTCTTCAACTCAGCCTGACACGCCTGCAGATCTGCTTTGGCAGCGGCCAACGAATCCTGGAACGTCTTGGTAGTTGCGGCAAGTTCAGCCCTCAAATTGTTGATGGCTGCTGCATCAGGCCTCTTGACGGCATCCAGCTCGGCCAGTGCGGTCATGCGTTCCAACTTTTCCAGGGCAAGTTGTTGGCCGACGTCATCCGCTTCTGCTTGAACAGCAACCATCTGCTCTTGTGCCGCCTTCAAGGAGGCTTCAAGGGCTGCGTTCGTGTCAGCTTGCAGCGACAGTTGCTCTTCCAGGCTCGCGTTCTTGGCCTTGGAATCCTCCAGAGCGGCCTCCAGTTGCTTGTGCGCGGCCATGAGGTCCTCCAACTGCTGCCTCACCCGGAGCCCCTCCTCCTTCAAGGTATTCGTAGCCTCCGTATGCGCAGCGGCAACTTTTTCAACCTCGGCCGCATGTGTCGCCTGCAGCTCTCTCTTCAAAGACTCGAGCTCCTCTTGGCTGGCGGACTTGGTAGACTCCAGCTGGGTTGTTGCCTCTTCAAGTTCCTTCCGCAGCGCGGCCAACTCTGACGCGTGCTGGTTGGCGATTGCTGCCGCATGTGACTCATGGGTGGCGAGTAGCTGTTGTCTTTCCTCTTCGTGTACTCTCTTGAGGTCTTCCATCAACTTTTCATGTGAAGTTTGAAGTGTCTTGGAGTATTCAGCGGATGAAGCTTCACCATCAGCCAGTGCAAGGCGCAATTTCTCCTCGTATTGAGCCTTAATAGAGTCAAGCTCCTTGGCCTGGACATCCAAGGCTTCCGACTTGGCGGCTGTCAGCTCTTGAGTATGAAGGCTTCTGATGCTGGCCAGCTGTTCCTCGTGTTCCGATTCCTTGGCCTTGAGAGCGTTGACAGCCTGTAGTCGGCCCTCTTCGGACTCTGCCAGGGCCTTTGTGTGCTTCTCCGAATCCTCGGCCATGGCGGTCTGCAGTTCGTTATGCTGCTTTTCCAATTCCTCGAAACGGCGTTTGAAGAAGGCATCACCGCGGAGACTTTCGATCTCGTTTTCGTAGTCTTGCGAAACCTGCTTCAAGCGCTCGTCGTGCATGGCCTTCAAACCAGAAACCTCATCATCCTTGGCAGACAAGGTAGCTTTCAAGTCCGCGATTGTGCCCTGCAGCTCAGTTTCCGCTTTGCGAGCCGATTCGAGCTCCGCATCTCGTTGGGCCAAGTCGCCCTGGATCTTGGTGGCCAATGCCCTGTCGCTCTCCGCGTTGGCCTCTGCAGTCTTGATGGCCTCCTCCGATGCTGCAAGCCGAGATTTGAATTCGAGGATTTCATTCTCGAGGTCGGAAAGCTTGCCTGTCAGCGCATCACGCTCAGACTTGACCGACTCGATGATGGATTCCAATTCATTCTTGGAAGCGGTCAGTTCATCGACCTGCTGTTGGAGGCTTTGAACGGTGGCCTCCAAGGTTGATCGCAGATCCGCAGCTGCTGTGTCTGACTCTGATTGATCGGAAACGGAGGCTTGGAGCTTCTCAACCTGGGCGGCGTAATCACGTATGGTCTGCTCGTACTGATCCTCCGTGGCCTTGAGCTTCTCCTGACTTTCGAGCCTCAAGCTTTCAAGCTCTTTCTGCAAAGAATCGAGAGCCTCTCCGCCTTGATCTTTGCCCCGGACGGCCTCGGCGAGCTCCGCGTCCACGGCCCGGAGCTTCTCGGCCTTCTCCAGCAGCTGAGCTTCTAGATCGCGTATGATGGCATCGTAATCAGTTTTCGGGTCATCTGGCGCATCCTGCTGCTCAGCCTTGGACTCGTCGTCGGCTTGCTGGCCATCGCCTTCCAGTTTGTGCCGAAGTTCAGCCACCGTTGTTTCAAAAGAAGTCAGCTCGACTTTGAGGGATTCAATCTCCTTGTCTTTGTCGGCCAGCTTGGACGTTAATTCGTCGAGAAGCTTGGGACTGTCGATGTGCGCCTCGGATCGAACCGAGGTTCGTGTGGATGGACGTGAGGCCGAGGTTACTATGCTTGGTGCGGATGGTCTCTTTCGCGCATCGGCGGCGGCATTGGACGAGGCAGTCCCTCGAGTCACGCCGGCTGCCCTAGTCGCGGATGGCGAGTCGGAGGTCCCCGGTTTGGCCCGCTGGGCGACTGGCTTCGGGCTGGCCGCACCAACACCCACAGTAGACCGACGGGCCGCCACGGCGCTGGCTGAAGGGCCGGTCTTCTTGTCTGCCCCAACTCCTGCCGAGCCTGTGACTATGGCACTCTCCCTCCGCGCGGATCTTGCGGTAGGTTTCTGGTCATCGTCCGCCCCACCGACGCTGGGAGCGCTTCGATGTCCTATATTGGACGTCGAAGCGGTGGATCGATGTACAGAGGTAGACGAACGTGTGGGTTTGTTCACAGTGGCGGAAGTTCGCGCGCCAGTCCGGGCGACAGTCGAAGTAGCGGTCGCGCTGGCATAGCGAGCGGAGGCCCTTCCAGCCGAGGCCTGGGTAGAGCCAGTAGCCTTCTCGGCAGCGTGCGACTCAGCAGGTTCTTTGGTAGGGGCGGCGCCTCCATCGGCAGGTTGAGCCACGCTTGCCATCTCGCTTTCAGGCATCGCGGTATGAGTATGTGTTGCTGCGCGACTTGTCAGCAGAGCTCGGGCAAGACGCGACCGGCGGCACACAGACCTACTTTGGGAGCAAGCGCCTCGTTGATGGTATGTTGATTCGTCTATACAGTCATAACATGCGTGATCGTGGTCGCGTGAAAGTAACCCGAACGAGCCTGTCCTGAAGTCTCGCGCTACAGCAAGAAACGCGCTCGCGTTTTCAGGGTCGTTCAGGCCGCGAGAAGGAGAGCAAGAAGAAGAAGAAGAAGAAAAAGAAGGAGAGGAAGAATAAGAAGAAAAAGACGAACCGGCAACGTCGAATCAGCGCCTACATACCATGCACATACCTATATATATGTGAGCTTGGGGAGCAGTAAAAGGGGCATGAGCTAGCCCCACCGTCTCCCCGCCAGCCCCCCCTCCAGGATAAATCTGCAGAGAGCGTGTTCACCGATAGATTTGGTCAAAGGAGCTAAGGCACGAGATGCCCACATGCAGTACGGACCTCAGCTATTACTAGACTGCTGCAGTACTGCTATTAGGCCGTGATCCAGAACGGCTAATTAGCCAGCGTGGCTAATTAGCTAGGTATATCTAGCAGGCAAATTTAGTAAAGACACTACCTCTTATACCCTATAACCCTAGTTAGACTGCTTAACTATAACTATTAATAGCCTAGCTACTAGTCTTATAAGGCTTTATAGTTAAAATCTAACTTCCTTATAAGGCTAATATTTTAATATACTATATTTATAATAAAAATGCACTTATTATTATTAATTTTTAAGTTACTATAAGCTAAATAATAAATAGTATATTATAGCCTAACTTATAAAGGCCTTTAAATTAGTAAATAAATAACTAGATGCTATTATATCTTAGTTTTTTTTATTAAGGTAAAGGTTACTAATAACTTAAATTTAAATAAAAGCTTAGTACTTTAAGATATATAAAGGAAGATTTTAAATAATATAAAAACACACTGCTTAAAGTGTATTTAAGAATTAAAAATATTAGAAAATAAGTATTAAAATATAAAAAAGTTCTAGTAAGTATTTAAAAAAGCTAAGGCCTTATTAAGCATAACTTATAACCTTAAGACTAGCTAACTTTTAATAAATAAGTAAAATAAAGATATAATAATTATAAAGTATTATCCTTATAGCTATAAGGTTATTTAAAATAGCCTCTTTATTAGTAAGTATATAATAATTAAAAGCTAGAAGATAATATTTATAAGTAACTTTCCTACTACTTAAAATATTTAAGAACTAGGCGAATTTAATAACCTGCTAATTATAGCTAGCTAAAATAGTATTTTAAAAGGTATTAGCATTCTAGAGCTATTTAATAAAGAAGATAATAATATGCCTTTAGTATTAAATAAAGATATTAATAATAATTTACTAGCTATAAACCTTATTAATAATAATAATATACTATAAATAATAATACTAGCTATATAGTAGTTATTATTATTATTATTAATACTAATACTAATGCCTTTATTATTATTACTAATACTATTATTTATAGCTAAAAGTATAGTAATAAAAAGAAAAAAGCTTATAAAAAGAGATAATAAAGTTAGTAAGTTAAATAAGCTTATAGCTGCCTTAGCAGCCTAGAATTTAAGGCCTTATAAGTATATTATTATTATATACTTAGCAGTTAGCTTAAAAATAATTAAAAATGCCTTTAAAAGTATATATACTCTTATTAAAGATTATAGTATAGAATTTATACTTAAAGTAGTATAATAAATAGCTTATAATTTAATAAATATATTAATATAGAATTTATTATTATTATAAAAGGTAAAGGATATATTTTTAATTAGAAAGTTTAAGCTAGATTCTTAATATTTTTATAAATAGCTTTAAAATATAAACTTAAAGTATAAAGCTATCTTTTTTCTAGAAAAATAATAATATATTTACTTTATCTTAAATAAAATTTCCTTACTAAAAGCTATTTTTATTATCTTTAATACTAATATTATTATTATTATTATCTTCTTTTTCTTTATTATTATTATTATTAATATAATCTTAATATACTGCCTAGGCCTTTTTTATAATATAATTTTACTATTAAATGCTATTTAATAATAGTAAAATAAAATCTATATACTTATAGGCTTAAGTAAAGAAAAGTTATTCTTTTTTTATTAACTTAGATTTATTAAGCTAATGCTATTTATTAAGAAGTATGCCTTTAAGTTTAATAAAGTTAAAAAGCCTAGTAATTATATAAATAATTAATATTTATATTATAAAGTTATATTTAATAATATTATAATAAATTATCTTCTATTTCTGCTTATACTAGCTAAAGACTCTCTTAACCTTAATTTAAAGTTAAGAATGCTATAAGTTATAAAGCTTTTTTATTATTATTAGCTTTTAGCTAGTATTTTCTTAATTATTAAGATAATAATAAGTTTAGCTAAAGGGTATTATAATTCTAGATTTTAATATAAAGCTAGTATTATTAAAATAATATTTACTAATTAAAATCCTAAAAGATTTTATTATTACTTATAGTAAAAGTAATAAATTTAATATAAATCCCTTAGTGCTAGTAAGTATATAGTAAAATAGGCTATTAAAGATAATATAAGTAAGTATATTCTAGGCTATATTATTCTTTTATAATTAATATCTTTACTAACTTATAAAAGGGATATATACTAAGATTAAGGTACTATTAATTATACTTATAGTGCTATTAAAGCCCTTATTTTTCCTTTTAAGTTTAATAGTTAAGGAGATATATAATAAATTTAATAACTAAATAAAAGATATATATAAATACTATATAGGATAGATTAACTTATAAAATAACTATAATATACTTAACTATAATATATAAAAGTAAAAGGCAGTATTCCTTTAAGGCTTATTAAATATATAGATTTAGAGAAATACTATAACCTTATATTTAAGAGGTTACTGCTAACTCTTATTAACCTTTATATTTATATAAAGCTAATTATAAAGGCTAAAAAATATATCTTTTTTTATATAAAATAGGTTATAAAATATTATTTTAAAAAGCTTAAGGAGTTCTTTATAATAAAGCTATAAATTTAATAAAATAAAAAACTAGCTTTCTCTTACTAAATAAGCCTTTTAACACTACTTAACCTATATAAAGATATATACCTATATAATAATAGCTATATTAAGGTTATTATTATTATTATTATTATTATAAATAATATCTTTTAGCAGCTGCTAGACTATAGTAAGTAGTAAATTATCTAGAGTTATTATTTTAATAAACTAGCTAGTATTAACTAATTTAAATTAAATAGTATTAGCTAGCTTATTAAAAATTAGTTAATATTAATAAAATTCCCTTATTTAACTAGTAACTATATCTATTATAAGCATTTTAGCAGCCTCTGCAAGTGTAATATATTATAAACTAGGGTTGCAGCTAGTTTATTATCCTAGAACTTAAATTATGCAATTTCCTATACTAAAAAGGGTATAGTAGTTCTTTTTATGCTGGCTAATCAGCCGGCTGGTTTTAAATCAGCCGTTCTAGATCACGGCCTTAGGGACGTAAGCTATCTGCTCAGGATAAGTCAGTCGCCAAGATATACAGTTACCTGATGCTATGGGGTTCTCCTTGATTGACGAACCGACTACAGGAACAGCGTACCAGTATCCGTCTCGCCTGCTTGCCATGTGCATGCATGTAGTCTAAAGGCGGATATACCTACTAGCAGCTTACTAGTACTACTATCACACAGGAGACTGCCTGGCAGTACCTTACGTAGATAGTAAGTACGACTCTGTACCCTTTCCACCTTGCGATCCGTGGAAGACGACGGGACAGCAGTCCTACTTACGGCAGTCCTTGCAATAGCTGCATTTCTTTGCTTACCCAAGTGCTTTGATGGCACTTCTGAGACTGGCTGCTAATGTAGAATGCTACGGGGGTCGCGGGAGGCAGAGGCACTATGCAGAGGCAAATACCGCTTTTGTGATGTGATGGGTTCCTGGCAGAGATGTAGCGCCTTGGACGAATGGTAGACCGAGATAACAACACACCAGAATTGTCGAGGTATCACACTCACAACTCACCACGCCCAAAAAAGCTTCTAAACATATACCTACTCCCGACCTACTTAACATCTTGCTTATCACATGTCGGAGAGCCGAGCGGATAGCTGGAATACCTCCAGCACGTAGTATGGGCATCTTGTGATAGTACTAGGTACTGCTTTCCAGGCAAGCGGTTCTCCAAAAGACGGAGATCGCAGGGTGAGTAACGCATACGAAGCAGCAATACGAGCACCATCGCATGGCGGCTTGTCCGCTGGTCCATGTGTGTATCTCGCACATTTGTGTGTGGATATTCTGACGTCCCGGATGAGTAAGGCGTACCTGGCCACCTTGTCGCTCGTCGCTCATAATGACTAATTGCCCCACTGTCTGACCGTTGCGCGCAAGCAACCTCCAACAATCGTCCAATTTGCTGGGGCAGACACCTGCTTACCTTGGCTCCAACTCCCCTCGGCCATGCTCCAGTAACAAACAAGTGGCAGGCAATCTCCAACGGCTCTGGTTCCCTCTCTGGCCTCTCTGGTCAGCCTGTCTGCATCCGTTCCGCGTCTCAGATGAGGAGCAGCCGGGCGCATCGCCAACAAGCGGCGCAGGACACGACGTGCGTCTGCTCGGCTGGGCTCGATATCGCTTAGGCCCATCCGTTATACTTCGCACTCGTGCTCTCTGATTCGTACTACGACTACGGACGTACTTGTCGTCTTCGCAAATTGCCACGCCTCCATACCTCCATACCTTGATACCGACCGTGCCTTGCCACGGTGCCCGTCCCTCCTCCATACCTCCAACTCCACGAGTCCTCCGCGAATCCATCCCGACGCTTCTTGACCTCCGAGTTTCTTATCCTCTTATCTCGTGCTCCTGCCTAGCTCGCTCGTGCTTGCCCTCCTGATGGCGTAGTTTGGGCATGGCAGAACAAACCACGGCAACC